CAATATCGATAGGCCAGGCCCAGGTTCCTACAGGACTCATGGGCGGTTGGGAGAGGGTCCCTCCTAAACTGAATAGGGTAGGTTGGTCGAATGATTAAGATCACAGTTAATTACCGTGCTCCTGCTCATCAGGGGGGCTAAGTTGGAAATGCAACTGGGATCCGACTGCTCCATTTCTGCTTTAGGTACCAGCTTTAGCTTCGAGCGCAGGTGAAACCCCCTATGCTGTGCAGCGGGTAGCATTACGACTCTTGGGTCCATCCGTCCAACCTGCTTCCATGAAGAAAAAAAGACTCAGCACTGGGGCGGACTGGGTGTTAAACATTCGACACATTGCTCAGAGTGTTGCCCGAGGATGGGGTTAGTGGTAATTTTTCTTGTCAAAGTCGTATTAACGCCGTGCCATCTGGCGACTCATGAAACACTTCCCACACTAATACCCAGTCTTTTGATATAATCTTCAAGATAATACCAGGTCATTCTTGATACATTTACCGTCTCCTCTAGTCTTAGATGGCATCTTGGGTGCCCACTAAGTCAGACATGGTTATGCCGAAAATGAGACATCCAACATCCAAACAGCTTCTCTCTGTGTTAATATCCAAGACATGAGAAAACGCGCGTGGCACTTGTAAACACAGCGGCATAATAAACACGGGGGGTTTGAGTAAGAAAAGCACACAAGTCCGAAAGGCTAAATAAAACCACAAGAGGAGATCGAAAAAATGAAGCAGTTCTTCTCGGGTTATTCTTAGCAGGACCGATTTGAGAGATCTCACACCCTGCTCCCTTCTTGCCGGTCTCTCAAAATTTGGGGGCCAGAAAAGAAAAGGGCGAGCATGGCGAGCTTGTACGAATTTAGTATGTTGGTCACTGTAATATGACATGCACAATCAGCATGAGATTAGATTCCCGGTTGAATCCTGGCCACTCGCCGGGACCCCATAACAGACAAGCATAGGCCAGGTCCCGATCCTTGAACGGAGACTCGGGCCTTGATATGCCACCGTCCTTTGGTGGTGTTCAAGTTTTGTGTACGTGCATGGTTGTGGACAGAGCTTAGTCTCACCTTCCACAAGTACATTGAAGCACACTGCACGACGCTTGTATCGGATGCCCGTCAACACTCAAAGCTCGAGAGGAAAGAAAAATAGACACCGCCCATCCTTCGTAAGCCCAGCATCTAATAAATTAATCCCGAGTTGGTTGTGTCGTAGTGCTGTATCTCAACCCTGCCAGATTCATTCGATTCGCTCGACTTGCATCTGGGCCTTGGAGCCAATGACGGACGGATATTACCAGAGAGGGTTGCATAATTATCCAACCACTCATGTATGCTCTGCCCATACCTTTGCATGCGAAGCAAAAATGCATCAGAGGTCCGGAAGAGAAGGATGTGCGATGGTGCAGATTCGACGGCACGGTGAGGCGGCATCGCTGGGAATCTATTGGCTCACGGTCTCTCCACCGCCAACACATCAGCGCCTTGTCCCACGCGGATCATACCTCCAATTGGGCCAAGCCAGGATGGCTGCTGATCTTGCACAGGAAAACAAGCCAGAGGGCGGAAAAGGCAGAATGCAGGCTCTTGCATCCTGGCGTTATAAGCACAACCCATAAAAGAGAAAAGAAAGAGGGAGGGGGATATCTTCTTGCTGCGGGTGACTTGCGACGTTCCCAGTCCGGCCTATCGGATGCTAGATAGCCCTGGGCTGGACAAGCCACAGTTTTGACTGATCCTCGCCTGACCCCGAGCAAAGTTCGCCCGTGTGAGCAGCAAGCTTGACCGTTTCCTGTCGCATCACCAATGCTCGTCGATCCCACTCCCTTCCTCCCTGACAAAACAGCCGCGAGGCAGCTTCTGCGACAGTTGGAGGCTGGCGGACAAGACCGACTGGCACTTACCGAACATGCTGTAATGACCACGGAGAAAGTGAGGTCTCGGAAGCCTCACCAACCTAGGCGGAAACCCTTCCCCCATCTACACATGAGTTTTATGCGACCTGACTTAAAAAATATTTTTCTTCAAAACACCAACGCCCCGAATTTACACTTGTCGGAGGCGGTGGAACACTGGAACCTGGATCATCCGGAGGGCTTCGCGGCTTAATTTTCTTTTGCTTCTCATCTGCCAAGGTCCATTCCAATGATATGTACACTTGTTACGGCAGCCGCCCTTGCTCTCAGACAGCAATAAATCACTGCCTATGACGGCATTTCAACTGAGCCCCCACCAACAAACACACTTGGACCTTACCGAGAAAGATAATCAAATTAACGGGGCGGGTGAGGCGCCGAGAGATGCTTTGCCTAAACTCAGGCTCACAAGGAAAGCATTATTCTACAGCCTATGGAAAATCAACGACCGATCAACCCTGAGATTGGTCCAACAGAAACAGGGAAAATAAAAACCGGAGCATGACACAGGACCACAGGGCGCCTGCCCACACCATTGTGGATTCGAACTTGGAAAGGTTGAACCAGGGCGTATTGGTCATGCTTGCGTGTCTTTTGAGTCTCGAGAGGGTTGCTTCGGCTTCCATGGAGGCTTCCATGAGCTCCCGTTGGTTCGTTATCACTGGGATCCCAATTTTAAACAGGTTGGAGAGAAGAAACCGACCGATCCCACGCCATGTATCCAATGCACATCCAAATGCTGTCAACTGCCAAGGAGGACCTAGTTAATACTAGTCACAGGTGATGGTTTAAGCCACAATTCTCCGTTCTGCGTTGCAGACGAGAAAAAACAAAGGAACTGTTGACAATAACAATTTCCTGGAGTGGGAAAGGCGGTCGGTCGTCCATCAATCTGAGCAAGAACCATGCCTGGGGTAATATTGACTGGGGTAGGCCTGGTCCATGTCCCCCCTCCATAGGTCCGGGAAGGGCGAGCAACCATGGCGAGATTTGATGGTTGCACTTCGCCGCCGCCTTATGATGACTGGTCGAGGGCCCCCCAAGAGAATGCCAGCCAAGCATCACCAATGACGAGGACTGGTGGACCTTCAGGCAGGCCTCACTAAAAAAGTAAAAGTGTGTGTACTTCCGTAGTGTGAATACGTGTGCGTCAAGAGGCGTTGATAGGAAACCTTGCCACACCTCCCAAGCAAGTGAGGCACCCGACCAGGCGACTCAGAGGCTCTCTCTTTCCCCACGCGGGAACCTGCTCCTTGCTCTTTTTGGTCTTGGTTAGTGGCCTGCTCGTTGCAGAGTGTGGGTTGATAAATGGCGTTAGTGCACAGTAATACCAGTGCAAGATGTGCAGCCTATGGTTTGGCTGGTGTCTCATGGCTCGCAAAGCTTCCGGTTGTGTCCCTCATCTCATGGGCTGCTGGGGAAGGGTCGAGAACCAGAAATCCACTGCACCACACACAATTACGAAGTATTCACAATCATTCACGGTCCCGCACTCCACCTCTGGCGGTAAGAATAGGGCCACCACGACGGTCCGCATCTTGCCTGATGTTTCGAGTGGACGCCTGAGGGAGACGGGGCCTCACTATGACAAGTGCAAGTGGATACATTGATTGATGCAGCGCCAAATGGTGAACACGGCCGACTTGGAAATGCGAGCATTAATGAAGGCTGAGGACGGTTATCGACTTCCGTTCAGAACACAGAGCCCTTGGAGTTGTACATAGTACGAACGTGCAGTCGACGAAACAACTCATTTCTGCAGCATTACACTGCAGTTGGCAGCAGCCTGGATTGTACCCTCGACATGGGCTTGTGTCCAATGACTTTGCTGTGTCGGTGGGTTGGTCAGTCCTGCCTTCCCTTGCTCAAACAAACACTCAGACGTGCCTCCCCCATCTCACCCTTCGCCCTCTCGCTCCTGCGCTTCACACGCTGCTTCCCCACTGCTAACACCATTCCACACACCCCTTGCAATTCGACCACCCCACCTCCATCCACTCCTAAACTCAAACAGAAAATTATTTCGAGAAATCGATACTTCATTAGCGCATAAGTGGACCCACTCACACTGACAAGGGTCAAGGATGTATCCACTTGCCTCGTTGTGTGTATTGGAGGGAGGAAGGACCATCACAACATCACGACCCTTCCCATCCCCAATGAACTACGACATGGGTGGCCGGGACCACCTCGTCAGTAGCGTAGTGCGTAGTGCGTAGTGTACCTTCGTACATGGAGTTGCAGTTGCAGTCGCAGTCACATCGTTCGCCTGACTTTTTTATTTTTTTCTTTCTCTTCCTTTTCGTCCATGAAGTGGTGTACCCAGGTACATGTCGCTCCGTATTTCTGTACCCGCCCTCACAACGCAGCACGGAGCACGAATCACCAACTGCCCTTGTCTGCCCTTGTCTTGGCGCCGGCCTCGGGTACGAAGTACTTCGCACCCCCCTTCTGGATTGTGTCTCTGCTGCTCGCCTTACTTCAGGCCTGGAGGGTTGGTTGTTTATTATCCTATGGAGACCCATCTTGAGAGCTCCCAACCTCACGTCGTCTTCTCTAATCTTCAACTTCAACTTTCACCACGCTCATTCCAACCTCTCAACCCCCGTTCCCTCTTCTCTTCATTGAGAAACCATAACCTATGGGACTTTTACGCTTCACATAATCTCTCTACTTCCTCTCCTTCCTCTCCTTAATCCGGTCTCCCTACTCCGACCCTACAAGCTCCGGTTCCGTGTTATCTCCCTCCCACTTACACGACCATAAAACGACCAGCCTCGTTATCTGAGAGCCACTTTTCGCCCTTTCTCTTTTTGTTTCTCTATCTCTCCTTCACGTCTTTCCTTATATCTATTCCACTTTTGGACCCAAGGATTCTCCGTCGGACTGCCCAGTCGTGCCAGGTGTCTTAGGCCTAATCCGATCCAGGAAGAAAAGCAGGACTCTTGTCTTTCTTTCTCTTTTGTGTGTCGTTTTGGTTTCTTCTCTTCCATTCTAGGGAACGAAGAAGCCTACTAGAATCCTTTGAGAGCCCAGGACGTTTCTCTTTTCTTTCCATCAACTACTCTCCGCCGGCCAGGAACATGCAGCATGCCGCAGTCTTCGACTATCCCACTCCCCCTGCCTCCCCCGCAGCTTTTGAGCATCCCAGATGTCCAATCCAACAGCAACACCACCAGTCGCCCGTGGTAGCTCAACCTTTTCAAGGACGATGCCTCCCGCCCTCCCCTGAGGCGCGGATAGGAATGTTACTGGATGGGAAGCTTCAGCTAACCAAGGTTTTGGGAACTGGTGCCTATGGTGTTGTATACGGCGCCGTCGATATCAACACCGGGGTCCAGTATGCCGTCAAGTGCCTCAGCAAGTTTAATGCCGATGGAACTCCCTTGGATCGCCGTCAATACGCTTTCCAGAAGCGGGAAATCCGACTCCACTACGAAGCCTCAGATCACTCCAACGTTGTCTCTATGCTGAGGATTGTGGACCAACCCGATTGTATATATGTTGTTCTCGAATACTGCCCGGAAGGAGATCTTTTCTACAACATCACCGAGCGCGGGCAATACGTTGGTAAGGACGAGCTATCTAGACGTGTCTTCCTCCAGATCCTAGATGCCGTGGAACACTGCCACAACCGTGGCATCTATCACCGGGACCTCAAGCCAGAAAACATCCTCGTCACGGACAATGGTGAGACCGTCAAGCTTGCCGATTTTGGACTCGCCACCTCTGCTCCCCGATCCGATGATTATGGCTGCGGTTCCACTTTCTATATGAGTCCAGGTAGGAGATGATTCAATCCAGACCGGGGCTTTTGGCTTGTCAACCCCGGCTTAATCGCATTTCCAAGAATGTAACTAACAATGTCATCACAGAATGTCTGGACCCATCCGCGAGGAGGCCTTACTACCTCTGCGCCCCTAACGATGTCTGGAGTCTGGGTGTTATCCTCGTGAACCTGACTTGTGGTCGTAATCCCTGGAAGCAGGCCTCGGTTGAGGATTCGACATACAGGGCCTTTTCTAGGAACCCCGACTTCCTGAAGACTATCCTTCCGCTGACGGATGACTTGAATGACATCCTCCGCCGGATTTTCTCCCAGAATCCCGACCAGCGAATTACGCTTCCCGAGCTTCGCGACAGGATCCTGGCTTGCGCTCGATTCACGATGCCGGCCGTGCCCACCGATGTGCAGACGCCGCCACCGTCTCCCGAGCCCACTATCGAATACGTTGACTATGATGAGGACGCAATCATTGACGATGCCGAATACGATGCGCCTCTCTCCCCCGCCTCGACCGACTCGCTATCTTCCGACGAAGGTTCTCTCACTTCTAGTGTCGAGAGTGTCGAGGACTTGGAGGATGCTTTTATGCAGGAACAGCACATGCCGCAGCATACGGACAACCAACAATGCCAGCCCGCAACGGCCTACGAACCCGAGGAGCCTACGATGATCATGTTCCCGAACCAGGAGTATGTGGCCCACACGTATACTGGACCTGTGCCGGTTTCGGTCCCTATCCAGCAGCCAGTGCCCATGCACGCTCCTGTCGCTCCGGTTCCGATTGCCGTCCCGGTCCAGGCTCCCAGCTGTCAGCCCAAGTCCCACTTCACTTTTTGGTGGTGGGACATGTTGAAGTATGCACAACAGGTTCCTGTCCTGCAGCCGCATGTGCCCTTCCATCAGCAGTTTCCTCTGTTTCCCGTTCCGGGATACTAGGAGTGCCTATGGTAACGACCCTCCCTCCCAAGTGGGAGTGGATCTCCTTGTCCGCTTGGGAGGACACCGATTACCGATATTTACATCCAACGTTTTAATGATCTGCCGATTCTTCGAATACGAATATCAGCAATTCTCTTCGTCGCTCCCCTGGGACGACAAAAATTTATACGTTTACGCTTGAGCCATGGCTGGTCTCCGCGGCGCAGATTCCAAAACTGCCTGCTGCGCCCAACGAAGAGACTGGACCACACACAAAAAGATCGACACCCGCTGGCCGCGGAAAATAATATTTTTTTTTTAACGCAACATCTGTCCGAACAGATCGTCTTCATTCATTTTCTCTTTTCTTCTGTTGTTGAAATCTTGCTTGGAAAAGCGTGGAGTTTTTTTTCCCTGGAGCTGGGGATGGGTATTTCTTTTCTGAAATAGGAGACGGTTTTCTTGGGACAAATGGGAAATGGAAAGCATTGATCTGGCGCATTCGATAAGGACTGGCGATACACTTTGGAGCTTCTTTTTTTCTTTTCAAACTGACTTTCTTCGGAACTTTTTACTTTTTTCTTTCTCTTCTCTTATGAGGTGATGGGATGGACGAGATGAGATGAGCTTATGCTTCTGAGGTTTTACCGTCTTTTAATTGCCTCTTGTTTCATTCCCCCTCATTACCGGGCAGCGTTTTGCCCGAGCGAGGTCTTCTTTTTCATTTTCATTCGACATCCCCCTTTTTCGGATGATGGCACTTTTTCTTCAGCTGTGGCATCATCTACTTCATACAACGTTGTTTTCAGGATGTTCGATTAGGAGGTGAATTCGAGGAAGCGATGTTTCCAGTGCAATTTGGGCTTTTTTTCTTTTTCTCTTTTTATGGGACGATGCGTTGGAAGGGCAAGTTATTTTTCTGCCTTCGGTATCTAGAAAGCTTGGGTTCGGACCCAACAAACATAACGTTTTTTCATCCTTGACCGGTCCTCTTCAGAACAAATGACGATGGGGAACAACAAACCTGGTCGCGAAGAAATAAAATGGGAAAAAAAAGAACATTGGATTTCTTGAATCGGAACCCTTTTTTTTCTTTTTCTTTTTTTGAGGTCACAGAGTTCGCAAATCTTCTTTGCATTCTGGCTTTGGCATTTGGGGCGAGACTTAGATTTCCCAATACAATATCAGACCGACCCATTTTCGTGTGTATCCTACATATGGTGGCATCGTGATACATCGTCGTGGCGAGGTAGACTGCGACTTCGTCCTGCTTGATAACGGAGAAATGTCACATCGTACGGCGGACTCTAGGGAAAGGGGTGGTACATGATCCATCTCTTGCAAAACGAAGCATTAATGGACTCTTACAGACTTCTGACTTACACTATGGAAAATGGAATTGGTACATGGGCGGCAAATGACGATGCTGGGCAAAGGACCATCAATGTGACTCTTCGTGCATGGAGCTCTCCTGCGCTCGGGGGTTCAACTGCAACCCCACCCCGCGTCGGCTAAGGTTACAAGCATCCTGTATAATAATAGCTGGTGCATCAAGGACGGGGGCCTACGTTGTGGCCATGTTATGTGGTCATACTTTGGAGCCAGGAGGGAGAAGTAGCGCGAAGAGGCGGTCGGCTGGCACTCGCTCCGGGTCATTATCATCCCAACTTGCGGGCGCTTTTTTCTTTTTTCTTGGTTTCTTGGGAGCGCCATGCGGGAGATTGTAATTGTTTCGTTCTCAGCTTCTTTGTTGTTTCTAAATCTGAATGCGCTCGGTGTTAAGATCAGTTTGTGGCTGCCTTGTGCTGGGGATCCTTGTGCGGTCTTTACTTCGTCAGCGGAACTGAAACCTTCCTTTGAGCTCCGACGTTCAAGACATTTGACGGATCCGCTGTCGACGTCAGCACGAGAGATTTGATCACTTCAATCCTGTTCATTCTCCCCCGGCTGGCAGTCAGCAAGTCGTGAAGAGGCGAATGGGGTTGAGAGACAGAGTCAAGGATACATGTCAAGAGAGATTGCAGAAGACAACATCCCTGACGACGTCCCTCGTCTGTCCCTCATCCCTTGTCCTCTCCTTCACCAGTCGCTTCTCCCGCCTCGCGCAGAGAGCCAGCAAGAATAAACCCACCGCCCACTCTCGCCTCGATAAGCCATGGGAGGGTAGCAGCATTCCCAAAGCACCTTTTTCCCTGCCTATGCGTCAAGGCACGTGTGATTGGCCCGGAAAGCCTTAAAAAACCAGGATTGCTCGCCCTGTTTTTAAGGATCCATCTCGGTATTACTCGTTTCTTGTGTGGGCGATACGTAACAAAAGTAGCGGCGCAGTAGCATTCCAACCTTAGCGATACCTTGAGATTAATAGTTCCCGATTCTAAGGACGCAACTTGCAGCCCGACCTGGGCTAAAGCGGGAAAGACGGAGTGAGTGGCTTGGGGTTTTCTTGAGGCGAGCGGGTTGCATGTCCGTTGTTATTGGACGACCTGCAGCATGCAATATTACGCCTCCCCCCTCTTTGGTCCTGTACTATACCTGGTCTGGGTATAGTTTCTGGGGGATTCTGGACCGTCCCTTTTTTTATACCTCAAGTCCGTCTCTCTTGGGATCCAGGATTCTGTGACAGGTTCAAGGACCAAATCCGACCCGACCAAGGATAGCGGATGCCTGAGGTATTTACTAGGAAGTCAAGTATCTGCCAAGATCGCCGTAGTGTGGTTGCGCCACACGCACGCTAGTGTTTCCCTTTCCTTTCCCTCCTGCCGGAACCCGACTTGGGAAAACGACAAAGGTCAACATTGAAAGTTATTGTTTCAATCCGACTTGGTTGAAATATGACCGGGGGACTCAGGCATCTGCTAGGGAGATGGAAAATCAACCCAGCAAATGAGAACAAGGCGAGCACGGAAAGGGAAACAATCCAGGATGACCGACGCAGCCGCTAAGCTGCACCATCCTGCGTCTTGCTCCCTATCAGATGCCTTCCAACTTGGCACTCGCAGGAAGCAGTCTTCTTTTGTTCGTGGACGCCACGGGGCCAAGTACTGGACCACGCAACCACCAGCAGGTAGAGACCTATCTCAAAAGAGGTGGAGGGGGACAAGAAAGAAGCTGGGGCCATCCAACTCCGAGCCAGTCACGAAGCGGCATCGTCTTGCTTCCGCTTCGTCTTTCTCCTCTCGGGAAACAACAAGCAAGGGAACGAGAGAGGGAAAGGAGGGCGAAAAAGGGTGCGCCAATCCGCCTGCATGCGTTAGTCTCCCCCCCACTTCCACCTTGACTGCCACTCATACATCATGCATCCTTCCTACTTCCTAGGCAAGAGCAAGAGCAGACAGTAAGAGCTTGGCTTGGTGGCTCGCCCTCCCCTCCCCTCCGGGGTTCGATGTGGTCTGAGCTTCTGGGTGGTTGCTCTCACTTATTGCATGGTTTTTTTTTTTTTCATTGCGAAGCGGTGCTTTATCCCCGCCTCCCGGTACCATCCCAATATGCACTCATGCACAGAATCATTGGGTGGTTTCAATCTAAGACGAAGGAGCCCCCGCAGGAGAGCTGAGAGTGGAACACAAGGGGACTCGCTAGCCAGCAAAGGAGTGCGGCTGGCGGCACTTCTCGCAGAAAGGGAAGCCGGAGAAACCCCCCAGGCTCGTGGCGATGTTTCTTTCCTGTCCATCGTTGCTTCCGGCGCGCCACATGCGAGGGCCAAGTTTTCTGGGATGATATTCCTAAACTTGTTCTTCCCCCTTGTGGAGTATTTGTGTCGCGACCCCATCAACCTTGCTTCTTTGCCTGATCCAAATGGCCCCTTCGGATGCAGCTTCCAATTTGTTCTTCTGCCAGGACAAGGGAGGGGTAAGAAAGGCGCGCTCGAATCAAGTTCCTACAACTTCGAAGTGATGAAAGACGCGGATCTAGGAGAATCGGACCATCGGCGATGCTGTGGTGTTTTGTTCCATCTTGTGACGAATGTTTGGTTTTTGGGGGGCTTCGGCGTGCCCTTGAATTCATGCCGACTTTGTTGCTTTTGGTTTGATGTCTCAATCAGACTGGCGAAGTAGACTACCCAGCACCCGATGTGGAGGGCCGCATCTTGTTCTACTTCGCTCTTCTTGCTGCGGAGCTGATTTACCGAGCAGGACTGGGGTCGTAATAGCTTTGGGTGGGACGGCGAGGGAAAGGGAGTCCTTCCTCAGGCGCCCCCGTGCAATTTACTTTTCCGGCCAAAACTTCCGTGTCTTGGTGACCTGGGGTGTCGAATCTTGTGGTTTCTAGCTCTAACAGACAGGCATCCACGGGTCACTTGACACACCTACACCGACAGAGGCGAAGGAGGCACATCTGGATCCCTTCTGGGCTTTGAGGGCACTCGGTTGGCTGCTCCCGCCCTTCCGTTCAGCCCCCTCGAGTTAGGAAGGAGACTAGATCCTCGAGGTTGGTTGTGCTGTCTGTCTCACATCGACAGCCTCGTGAACAACTTGCCAGGTGGCTCAAGAAGAAGGGCTGTGCTTGGACTTGGGAATAAGACATGGGTCTTAACGGAGGTATTATTTCCTACATATCACTCAATCGCATTTAGAATCAGTCTCTTACACCATCATCTCAATCAACTCTTGTACGTAAATCAACTTCTCAGCCAAGACCAAAGAGATGAACAAACATCTGTCAAAATGGCGGTGAAAATGAGGGGAAAAAAAAAAGGAAGACATAAAAGAAAGAAATGCAACCACGAAAAGAAAAAGAAATCAAATTAAGGGTGGAGAAGGGGCCTGTATCGATGCTAGGCCAGTCCATCTTGGGGGCTCTCTGAGGCCCTCCAAGACGGTGAGCTTCGACCAAATCCCAATTTGGGCGTTCTAGGATGAGAAGCTGCAAACACCTTGGGATTCATCTCTCCCACCAGCACGGCCAATCCGACCAACTTCGGTGGCAGAATCAGGTCATATCCTGAATAATAAGGCTAACCTCCTCTTTTGTTTGGTGCGAGGGTCTCTTTTCCTCTTTCAGACGATGCTGTTGAGGCA